GCGCGCGCGGGCTGCGCCGCGGCTCCCACCGGCGGCGGCAAAGCCTCTTCGGGCGCCGGGCTGCGTGCATACGTACACATGTATATACCTGCTACTGATCAGGGACATTGCCGCTGGCGGCAAAGCAGCGGCGAGAGGGCGCGCGGCGCGGCGGGCGCGGCTGCAGCGCCGAGCACGGAGGACGCCGGGCGGCAGCGGGCGCGGCCCCTGCCCGGTCCGGCGCGGCCGCCGCCAGGTAAGCGCGGCGGGAGCGCCCGCTGCCGCTCCAAGCTGCGCCGCGGGGGACGGCGCTGCCGGGCGGCGAGGCGGGCAAAGCGCCTTCCTCATGCCCGCTCTGCCCGGGACACGGCCCGCGCCGGAGGAGCCGCAGGGAAATGGGGGGGATTTTTACCCCTGGGCTTGGGGGAGGTGAGGAAGGACGATGCGGGGAGCGGTCCAGCAAAACCAGCCCTGGTTTTGTGCTGATTTTCAATGAAATCCAATTCATAAGTTGGACATGCTCAGCCTCAGAAGACTAATTCATCCCCTAAAACAAACGCATCAGTGATTGCAGGCACCCAAACGTGACAAGCGTCTCAATATGCCAGGGATCCAGAGAAAACAAATTCATTCAGGAGCCCAAGCCGTAATTAAAACTACTGCCAAGAAGATGAGTTGAGAGCAGGATGTTACCAAGATCATTAAGCCGCCGAGGGGCTGAGGCCCGGCCTGCTGTGGCGATACGTGCCGCTAATGTCAGCGCTTGCACAGGACGAGGTCGCCGTGCGAGCGGCAGCGCGGCCGGGGCGCAGGGCGGCCCAGCCCCGGCCGCGGGGCAGCAGGGGCCCCGGCCGCTCCGTCCAGCCGCGCAGGAGGCCGCTGCCCCCCTGCACTGCCCGCGGACCCCTCGCCCCCTTCTTTACGCAAGCAATCGCACTCCCGCTCAGCAAACCCTTTAGAAGCAGCGCCTTGGACCAGCGCTGCTCATTTCTCCACATACTTAGGATTATTCGCTTGCAAGAGAGATTGCTGCAGTGCATTTATTTAATAGAGAAAACGGTCTTTTTTTTTTTTTTCTTCCATGCAGAACAAAGCACAGCAAAAACGCTTAATACTACGGAGTGGCAGATAGAGAGGAGCTTTACAGTGCAGGGGGAGGCAGGGGAGGGAACACACGTATGGACCAAGCAGAGCGAAAGAGCAGGAAGCTGGAATTGAAGTGATAGCAACAAGAATCCCTGTTGATCTACAGGCATCGAGGGCTTCCTATTCAGTGGTAAGTACAAAACCACAGCTTTTGAACAGCAAAAAGAAGGGGGTAAATAAAATGATACAGTTTTGAAAATAAATCCCTTGTTAACTACTTCTACTTCAGTCTTTGTTTTAAATATGCAATTTCACACTGATCAATGGAACAAGATTAAATACCATACTCCATATTTCATGCAATAATTCAGGTAATTGGCTTCTGGGACAAAGATCAATAGAAATGTTCCTTATTTGACTACGTTAGCAAGTCAAAATTAATTCTAATTTACATTCATTTCCAATCAATATGCACTTAACGACTTACATAGGCTCTTTAAAAAGTTAAGCACCTATATTGACCATAGTCCTACATATGGCAGTAACAAGCACCCTTTGGGGAATTACAGCACCACAGAGCCAGTCTCTGAGCCCCACAGGGGGAAAGGAAGATGAAATTTGTGTTCGAGAGGCACTTTGGGATCCTGGCCAGAAACTTCTAGAAATGTACAGCTCTCATCCCAGCAGGGGAGAGAGCATCCAGAGAGCAAGCGGTCCAGCTCCAAGCCCTTGGGAGCAGCCTGGCTGCTTAGTTTTGCACAGCGAGGTCTTGCCCCCAGCTCGGACATGTCAGGCTGCTATAATAATAATAATTACTACATACTAACGCTAAACACTGAAACTCCCAAATGCAGTGAAGAAGGCAAGCCACAGAATTCCCTCAGAAATTCAGAATCAAATACTTCGTACATAGAAAATAATCCAATCTCAGCCAAAAGAAGGAAAAGGGAGAAAGCACAGAAGCCCCAAGCATCACAAAACAGGCCTACAGAAACAGAGGCCGAAAGGGAGAGGGGAGCAATGTTTGTCACAGCCCATGGACAGTAAGGCACAAGGAAAAAGCCTGGGAGAAATCCCAAATGCCATCAAACCACACTTCTAACTTGCAAAGCACAACAAAATTGATCCACAGCAGTGAGGAAACAGAAACAGGGCACCTCTCGACCCCAAAAACCAAGCTGTGTGGAGCAGCCCACTCTTCAGCACCTCTCCTTCCCCTTGCTCTACATTGCAGACTGAAAGGAAGTGTCAGAAGAGGAAAACAAAGCCCCAACCCACCGTCATGCCCTGAGTGCTGTAATCCAGCTGCAAATCAGAGGGCTGAATCCAGCCTCCAGACTCTCCAAACATTTGACAGTCCTGCACAAAACTACCCAGTGAAGAGAGAAGTGGGAGCCTGTAAGGCAGGCCAAAGAGCAAGAACCTCAGTAGCACCTCTGCAAGATGGAGAGCGTTGCAGCATAAAAACTTTGATGTCTTTAATTTTAAACCTGATTTAAGTCAGGCTTTTGAAATGATTGCCTTGCATACACACACAAACAAAAAAGTAGCTTTGGCTTGGATTACGCTTTCCATAGTGCTGTTTGATTAGAAAAAACACTGCCCTGCCTCCTTCCTTACTACTTCCCTCCTTCCAAAAAAGCCATCTATGTTGAATTTTCCAAGCCCAGAATAAATAAGAGCGTTCATTTCAATTTTGCCATTCCTAACATGCAATCGGAAGAGCACTGGCATTTGGCGGAGGGTTTAGATGTTGTTTAGATGCAGCAGTCAGCACTAAAAGGCTAATCCATTTGCCAACATTTTGCATATTAAAAACAGTACAACTTGCCCTGATACTCTGTCAGCGCTGCATAGGGGAGTGCTCATTGTACAGTACCGCATAAGGTAGCACTGGATTGGCAGTGCGAGGGGAGGAATGGCTCATCTTAGATACATGCAAGGTAAATAAAAACCCAATCAGCAGTCACTATTTGAAGCTCAATTCCTTGGCAACAGAGAAAATTCTATGCACATCTCTAATAGCTCTACTACCGTTGCAAACCACAGTGGTGATTTAAGCTAACCTCATTATGAGATATTGCAGAGCTTATTTTTGTTGTCAGGGCGAACATGGAACGAAGGCTGCACCAAAAGGCTCCTGCAGCTGCTCCAGCCCGGCGGAACTGAAGCTGCGCTGCAGGTACAGCCAGCCCCAGCCGAGCAGCCCCGCAAGAGCCTGGTCCCCGGGCTCTCTCCCTCTCTGCTGCCACCGTGAGTACAAAATGCTCCTTGAAAACATCATCACAAGTGCAGCTGCCTGGGTCTGGGGGACCCCTGATGTCTACTGAGCACCTACACACAGCAGCCAAATGCTGCTTCACGAGCAAGATCAGCATCCTGGAACAACTGGAGTAGAAAAAGCCCCAGAAAGCTCAAAATAAACAGAGTTCCTATAAGATTCACACCTCTCTCCTAACTTCCACCGATTTACTATAGCTAGATTAAGGCTTCTATACATCAAAACTGGGACAATGCTAAGTGCATAAAAGAGAAGGAAGAACACCGAGGAAAATATCGGAATGTCATCTCGTAAGTGGAAGAACAGAAAAAAAGCCTCACAATCTCCATAGCCTAGATACAGAGAAATAACATGCTTTAAAGCAACCGCTAGTTTTTTTTTTTTTTTTTTCTGGAATCGTTTCACTTCAGTAGGGGAAGGGAAGTGAAAAGAAAATCTCCAATCCCTCTGACATCACAAATACATCATGGCCCAACGCATTTAGGACAGTCCATAAAGCCAGTGTTTGTAAACCTATGTATACACACAGATGCATCCTACAATTATCATTCCCTTTGAAAGGAATTTGGAACAGCTCTTTCTTCTATGGCTAGATTCTGAAAGTTACTACCATACACAGGTCTAAAGATGCAGCAAGTATCTCCAATTTTTAGCTGCTGATAAGTTTTCAGGGAGTTTCTTGTAAAAAATTACACAAAAAAAATCAGTACGATTCTACATACTATATGTCACATTTCCCTCCTTCCAAAGTGATCAACAGAAGGCCTACAGTTACTACAAAAACTGAGTTTCATTACATTTTGGAACAAGAAATTTAGTAATTGATCTGTTTAGAAACAGTACTACAAAAACTCTGACCTACTATATATCTTTTAGGTTGGGGATTTTTGCATTTAAGGAGGGACTTGATTGTCATTCTCCTGTGGTGATGGCTCTAGGTTTCAATTGCTTTTACTGAAGCTTCCTTAATTTGGTAAATCCTTCTTTTTCACTTTTGATAATCTTCCAGGAATAATGCCCTGGATGCTCTTTGCAAAAACAGGCTGCTGAATTACAGAGCTCCTTGTGGGACAGTTGACTCTCGATAGTTATGTGCCTACTGACAATCTGAAACTTTACTACAAGTCAGTACTTTATTTGAATTGGCACTGGAGGCCCATCTGCCTCCAATGTAAGGAGGCCAATGTAAGATATCATAAAGAATAGAAAGCA